ATCTTGGGTTGTCAGAAAAAAACTGATCTGCCATAATTGCTGAAATGGAGTATTTCATAGTAAAAGATCTGGAGGACCTTGACTTTGCAATAATGACAATAAGGAAAGGGTTGGAGCCCAAAGATGCCCTGTTACCACATATGCCATATAGCATTTGGAGGATGCTTTAAACTACCTTGTATCAATTGAATAGATAGCAAAATATCACTAACCTCTGCATTCAAACATTTTTCATTATAATATAGTTCCAGCTTATCTCTCTTTGGTTAGCTTATGTTCAGGGTTACTGATGAGGAGTGGAATTCTCCAATAGTAGTATAACCCAACAACACATGTTGATCGAAGTGTAGATTGAACTGGACTTCCCTTGAAATTGGACATCAAAATTAAACAAGTTTCTGAATACTAATTTTATTTACTAACCTCTGCATTTTAACAGAGTTACTCAAGTTTGTTTGGAGACCTTGATGCAGTACCACCAATGCTTCATTAAAGGATGTTTATCTTCTTTATTAATGGACACTGCAACACAGTAATGTAGTGTGTTACATGAAGATGCATAGGATTTCAACCCTAAAAATGTCTTCTTAAGGCCGCAGTGTTGTAGGAAAAAAGAAAGTATCACTCTGTGCTGAACAACCAAAGTTCCCACTCTCAGCAACATTGACTCCACCAACTGTCATTCTAAAAGAACTGAACAGCACAACAGTGGAGCCAATGCTGTCAATGCCAGACTTCTTTTGTTTTCATACTGCATCATAATTCAAATGAAGTATGACATAATGAACAAGCTTTTAGAAAAATCAGTACTGTAATTGTGTCACAAGTTGTTCACAAACATCTTTTCTTCTAGCAACATATTGACAAGCTAAGCTCCTATCACTTCGTTCCAACCTTTATACAGTTCTTCACTGAACTGAAAACCATATTGTCATATATATTTGAAAATAACATAAAAATTGCTTTCATGTATTTAGATCACTAACCTCTGACTTCTCAAAATAGAAAAAACTTAGCACAAACAATCCAATCATAAAATTCAAGTATATTAAAAAAGATCCAGTAGCTTGAGCACTTTCAAATAATTGACTGTCTTTCTTTTGCTTCTGAAGAAGGTTGATTATTCAAAAGTACTCAAGCATCTCGGTCTTTTGAAATCTACTCGGAGCTGAGGTATAAGAAATTATATCACCATAAGAACCAAGTTTCAGAAATGATGATTAACTAAAATGTGGTAAAACTACACTTGGATTGCAGTTAAAAGGTTCAAATTGGTTCTGTTTTGTTCAAAAATATGTAGATTTTATGCCAAAGGCTATGAATGCCATATTTTTCTCAGAAAAAATAGGTAAATTCACAGATATTTTCATATGGAACATACTGAAATGAACCCATAATCAAAATTTATGTATGAAAGTAAATAAATCTTTTATGCCCCCCAGTGGCACAGCGGTATGTCTGCGGACTTATAACGCTAGAATTCGGGTTTCGATACCCGTGGTGGGCAGAGCACAGATAGCCCATTGTATAGCTTTTGTGCTTAATTACAAACAAAAAAAATCTTTTATATTGAATAAATTTCTACATTATATAATATCTTTAAAAAACCATGAGTAAGAATGGGAGATTTTTCTGTGATATTTTTTATTTACTGGTGTGGACTTGCCCTGCACATTGTTAACTCGTATTTAAATTTAATATTTCAGTTAAATGTAATTGGTCACCTCTTATATTATAAATTTTTTTTATTATTTATATGTAGTTTTATCTTGTATTTAATTTTGATTGATTTTTCAGTTTTGTTTCTGTGGAGATTTTATGCTTCTATTTTTTGTGTTTAAAATATAGGTTGTTTTGTTTTAATTTGATTTAGTTTGTATTATGTTTATTTGACAATTCTATTTAGTTATTTTGATTTGATTTTATTCTCTGGTAAATAATTTTGTGAATTGGCACAGTTTATGGATGTATTCATTTTATTTTTGTAACTGACTTGTCTAAATTTTCTATTTGTTTAATTTATATCATTTTATTCCGTGTATTTCTGTAATTCAATTTTGGGTCGTATCATATATTTTAACTTAAACTGGTTGTTGAAGCCAGTGTGTTTGTGGTCATCCAAATGTCATGGCCTTGTGCATATAAAGTGAGGAGGAGATTACGGGAAGTTAAAACCTTGGTAGCTGAACTTGTTAGTTGGCCTGTTTAATTTTAAGACTCGATCCTAGACATAGCCTGAGATACAAAAATAGGTTACAATTGAAAGAACTACTAATTTCACCCTTCCATAATTAGTAAATAATATATTTTATTTGGATGAATTTTTGTTCAGTTAGTACTTGGCATGTTTCTAAACAGGATATAGCTTACACAGTAATTACATATCATTAGAATTGCTCTTTGAGGTGTTAACTTTCTTGTTCATGTTTCTTTGTCATGTCCTCCTGGAGCTTAAGTTTTGAATTCCAACATAAATCTTGCCTGTAATTCATTATATTTGTAATTAATAATGTCTGTTTCATTAGGTAATCTCTTCTAACAGGATGTACCATGTAACTAGGGTCTGGCAGTGTTATTCAAACCACCTGTACCGTAAACTATTACAAACATTTGCTTGTAGTGGCAATTAGTTTTGTCTGTATACTGAAACAACATACAAGGACATATGTTGAAATAACCTTGTTT